TATACATCATGTCATAGATAAACAGATATATTGGTTTGACTATCCTATTCAAAATGGCCGAATGGTGGTCATTTTTGTGCTAAAAAATCATCAAATATCAAGCATTTATGGGTGGATTTCGTTCAAACTTGGTACATACATTAGACATTACGGGTTTTATTTTTCAGATTGGATTCATAATGGCTGACTGGCAGCCATTTTGTTTTAATGATTGGGCTTCTAGAGCCATATCTCTTAAATGCTTTGACTTATTATATTTAAATTTTATATATTCGTTATACATCTTGTTATATATATACATGTATTCAAAATGGATGATTTTGAATGCTGTTCCAGAGCAATATCTCCCAATAAGGACAAGTACTTTTTTGATGATCAGATACAAATGTCAATCATTTTAATGTTAGAAAATCATATTCCTGACATGGTTATATTACAGCTATATTACTATAAACAAAACTATATATCTTAAATTTGATAACTAACGGGGACTGTGCCATGCATGGCTTGTTGTATTATAGTTTGTGTCACTGGGAGTTAATATTTTATATGTCATCTGAGCCCTACATTTCAAGGAGTGACCTTCTGGACAAACCATCGAAACACAAATAATGTGCTATAGCTAGTGACTCTCTAATGACTAATGTAACTCTGAACATTTTAAACATTATTTTGTAGCATCAATAGTATATATATATATTAACCGTATTCATGGGTTATTTCATGTATCATCTGGGATCGATGATTATATGGCGAACACTTGTTTAGAACACACATATGATTTTGCAATGTTGTTTACCGTATTCGTTGCCCTTAATTCGATTAATTACTCGCAGTGATACATTTTCTGCGACAATTATAATATTAGTTACAAACAATATGCTATTGCAGAGAGTGTGACGTTAGCATAATACAGTATGAACCATAAAAGTCATTATACAAGACCACAGGTCGATTTAAAATCTAAATACTCACAGCTACATTCCTCATTTGCTGATCACCTGTGAGTTCTAACATATCCATCAATGATATAAAAACATTCATTCTGCGTTCTAGAATAAACAGAGATAGTGAAAATTATATATATATAGTGATGTGACATAATCAGATAAAAACGTGCCCACAATATGATCTATGTTTTCACATACTCACCTGCCAAAACGTCCCCATTCTTCTTGAGAACATCGTACATACGACTCATAGTGACAGAAGAACCAAATGTGATACCAGAGTCTGTGATATCAATCTGGTTTAACTCTGGTACGTGTGTTACTGATATCAAAGTTGTTTTTATATTATTGGGTCTTGGTTCAAAGCCTTGCAATGGATACAAATATATGAAATATCACAAAGATAAGTAGTTTTAAACAGAAAATCATCGAAATTATTTGTGATCATTCGGGAAACTCATTTCAGTTTATAATACATTTGGTGTATTTCCGAATAGCACATTTTCATGCATAAATTACATTGTACTCAAATTACCTCGAACCTTTCGTTTTACCTGCAGGTGTAGGATGGTAAACGTCAGAGGTATGGATGATATGCACAATCAGTAATTAAAATGTTATATCCACAGATCTCTATTTGGTTAAAATTAAAAAGATAGATCAATAATTTTACTGACTAACCAACTTCAGCATTGCCAACCACCAATTTAGCTGCAGGTAATTCATTCTTCAATTTAAGAAGTTCTTCTAATGAAGTAGGTCGAATCCAGTCCAATGCTTCTCCAATAAACCGTACTGTGTTGGTATGAAATTTGCTGCTGGTCTAAAAATGACAAAGCTTTGATTATTGAAAAAAAATATAATATGTTCAGAAATATTGAATTGGAATTACATTGGCAAAAACCAGTACCTGTAATTCTGGTGGAAATATTGGCTCCTGAGAAGGGTCGTACGGAGAGTAATCACTTGGGTCAAATAATTTCCCCAGAAGCTGAAAAAAAACACACACACAATCAATTCATGTTTAAATATGATATAACAAATCTAATTATGTACAAGCGCCTTATGATTTTTGTATTTATCGGTTAATATCTGTGTTAATTCAGTATATTATCATGAACATGTTGTAGATACATGGTAGTACATCTACTCACTTCACCCCCCATCTTGCCCCTTACTGCATGCTGTCGGGTTTCCACAGCAACTCTTCTGTAAAAGATAATATTGAACATCAATTAGATTTAAAGTTGACAAGATTTGAATAGTTCACATATACATTGGTGACCACAGACTGGCGAGAGTGGTCACTATAATGTCTTATAATGTTGATATTATTTGTGAATAGATTAAATTCACATTGTTAACGAATACTTCTACACATACCTGTGCACTGAAAGACTTGAATCCATCTAGTATTGATCTATACCCTGTACAACGACAGAGATTTCCTTTCAAACATCCTTCAATATCCAGGGCAGTTGGTTGCGGATTGTTACGTAACAGAGTATACATTGACATTATCATGCCTGGGGAACAAAACCCACACTGTAATCCATAGGATTTAGTAAGTCGTTCCTGTGGAGAGAATGAATGACCATTTTTACTCAGATTTAGCTGGCAAGACATTGTCAACAAATTGCATATTCGTTATTTGCGAATATATAGATTACTTGAATATTTGCTCATCTCTAATGCAATGAAATATATACCTGTATTGGGTGTAACTTTGTCTTTGTTGACCCAATTCCTTCCACTGTTGTGATAGCCATTCCATGTACAGAGCATACAGGTGTATAGCATGCATTAATAGCACAGTGACTGTACAAGTAGTTCAGATATATTGTTTAAATAGTGCACTACCCACTGCATTTCTAATTCGATGTTTATACACAGAAGTGACCCACTTGTCAAAATGGTATGTATGATATTGCTTGACCATACTAAGGCTATACAAACAATTAACAGCGTGAAAAGTCATGAAATCTACTTTGTTTTAAGGATGATTAGCTGGCGAATGCTCATTAACATTTTTAATGTTTGTTGTATATGGTTTTGTTGTATACATGTTTTGTGACGTATTTACCGCTACATTATTCAAATATAGTAAAAATACATCAAGTAGCTATAATGCTGATGCACATGAATGTTGTACTGTGAAAAGGATACGATATCTTCTTGTCCACGTGGTCATATCTTGACAGCATTACAGTACAAGCTCCACATCCTCCTTCACCACAAGACAATTTACTCCCTGTCAATTTAACTGAGTGTAGCGCAATGTTAAAGAAAACTAAAACTAAAAATATATGTCATGAACGAGAAGAAATCGATCGCATTCTATGTCGTTTACCCTGTTCAAGTGATCAAAAATCACATACATCAATCTATAACATAACAGGTAACATGTACAAACAAAGGATACGTTTTCCTCTGATGTATGCCAGTAACGTTACTTGGGGTCTCACATTATGATCTGTGAACTAATATTATGATCGATAATGTTTAGCAATCTATCTGCATGCTTTGTATTTTCATTATCGACTGTGCATCGGTGTGATTAATGAATTTTAATTGAGGGTTCGGTGCTTTTTTTTCAGATACACAATATGCATACTAGTATTTTTGTAATTGTACTTTTCATACATTTATTTTTAACTTGTCTGGATGATGTGTATGTACATTATTTTATTCCAATGAAAACAATTTTATTTTATTTGAGTGTACACGTCTTGATTGACTGAAAAATTTGTAATTACTGTTTTGATTTTTTGGAATTAATATAAAATAATCTGTATGAACATTTAATGAAATTTATTACTTACGTAGGAATAATGACAGAGTGTGAGTAATTATATTTGTTATTCAAATTGTTATTAACATGAACTGTTGTAATGTTACCTGAATGCATGAAGTCAAGTGACCTGAATACATAAACTCAAGTGACAAGAACTGTTGCAACGTGACCTGAATACATGAACTGTTCTAATTTGACCTGAATACATGAACTTAAGTGAC